TAATACAAGGATTAATGGATGACTAATGATCTTAAAAACTTGCCACCTCATAACATTAATAGAAGGTCAAATTCCTCCCACATATGCACTCACTATGCCATGGCAAATAAAATTTATTTGGGGAGAATAGCGCATGGCTTTATGCCTTAATCTCGTGATTAATGATTAATTAATCACTTAATTATGTTTAATTATTTAATTAAATATAATGCTTAATTACCAAAATTATTCCGAACGTAAACGGAACGTCGAAAATAATTTCTGATAATTTAACTGAAATGACTGAAATAATTTAATTCCGAAAATTAATACTCGACGATATTAATATATCGGAACTAAAACATGATTTATACTGATAAGCTGATGGGATAGTACAACACATCTTCACAAACTCAAATATCTTGGTCTTCAATGTCTGTGATTAGTCTCTCTTTCTCCAAAAGCGAGAACTTCCCTATTAAAAGCTCTATATTTGAGTTGTCAGCCTCTACCTTAGAATCATAATCGAAAGCGAGCAATTGATACCCAATACAATATCAGTGGCTAGAGAAACCCTAAGTTGAAACTCCCATTAGAGAGAGAACTCCTATTATAGAGATGGAAACTCCCATTAGAGAGAAAATATTTGTTGCAAATTAACTAGATAGCTGAAACTTTATATTTCAATTTGATTAATTGTATTTATTTTTAAAATCACTACCACTTTATTTCGGTGTGGGTTGTATTTTCTATAATAATCGAAATAACTGAAACGACTGACTTATAAGAAAAAATATTGTTGTTATTATATATATATTTATACATGACGAGTGCACTTTAGGTGTTTATCCAATTTTTGTTGCGTTTTCGTTCGTTTTGCCTTTATTTTTTCCTCCATCTTAGATCATTCCTTTGGTTTTTAGTTTGTTTTATAGTTTATTGCATGTTTTCTTTCAATTTGAATGTCTCCGTGTTTTGTCATTCGTTTTTCGGTATTCTTTGTTTTTCGTCTCATTTTTTGTGTGCAGGTCGGAAACTTAGGGAGGATAGAATTTTAGAGAAAAATATTTAGGCAAACTTAATGTAGTAGAGGTAAGCGTTGGCGTCACACAGAAGAAAATAGAATCAAATTCTGAATCCAGTCGAGCACAAACGAGCCCGAGACGCGAAGTAGTGCAAGCTGGCC